AAATAAGAAATCAGGAAGGGGGCAAACACTTTTTCACACAACTGTATTTGCAGATTGACCGCAAAGGTCCCCTCCTTCTGACTTTCCTCTTTGCCCCACAGATGGAGGAGGAGACCACAGGGCAGAGGGCCCCTTGGCTGCAGGACTGTGTAGTGTCCCTGTCGCCCTGCTCTGACCTGCTAGTAGTGGCCCGCGAACAGAAGGCTGTCTTTCTCTCAGGTCAGATGTGCAAACACACACTAGAGCTGTGTCGATTGACGGTTTTGCCGGTAAGGTCCGAGCGTCAAACCGATGAATCGGCATTTGTCATTATGGCACATTCTGGCAAATTAAAAAGTGGCCTTCATCAGCAACCTATGCCGACGGAGTGACGGTGCCAAATTCAGCTTGTGTTGCATTAGTAATAAGCAATATGACAACTAGAGGTGTTCCGATACCAGTATTGGAAAGGCCTTCAATTAAGCCTAAAATGCTGGATCAGATATCGGCGAGTATGCAAGTCTATGCACCGATCCGATATCGTGTTACATATCATTTATCATCTCATTTACCCTACACAGGAACATCAGCAACCCGTTTTTTGATAATGCTACATCGTGAACATAAAGTCTGTTTGAAATCAGCAGGAGGGTGCCGGTTTACATCTGGTGGGCTGCTTGGCTAATACCAGAGGTTGCATTAAGTTTCATTATGATGCGTTCAAGCTCTATCTTGAAAAAATGAGTATTGGGCGAAGGCAAACTAAAATGTTATCAGATGTGTTCAAATGTAATCTTCTAAAGAATTATGACCTGTTTGAAGTTTTGATTTTTAACGCACTGGAATGGGATCGGTACCGGTTAGCGGCAAGTGTAGGTACTGGAATCGACATCGGGAAGGAAAAAAGTGTATGGGAACATCTCTAATGATGACGAGAAGAGACAAGGAAGAGTTGGTCTCAAAGAAAACTAAAACTGCGCCAGTTGTCACTCATTCATGAGCTCTCTGTCTCATTATGGTCCACTCGGGAACAGCTGCTGAGTCAAGTGCGACACCTAGTGGTAAACTTTGATATATTTGTTTGATGTTAAGCGGTTGTTTGGTTTAATATCAAACCAATGTTTAAACTGGCCCAACCCTAAAACACACACACACACAATCATCTCTAAGTACACAGGGGAGTTATACTTTGCTGTTAATGCTCATTGTTTCTTCCAGCTAAGTGGCTTACTGATGACAGCGGCAGAGAGGAGATGACCTTGGCTGTGTCTTGGACTGGAACCCTTAGCACTGACGAAGGGTGAGAGTAAAATTAGATTACCTTGAGGAGAAATGAAAATCACAGCACACCAGTTGATTGGTTAGCATTATATCTAATTGATAAAGGAAAATTGCACTATATTGGTTGAAACTTACAGGCAAGAATTAGAATGAAAGTCAGACTGACAAGGAAAACTAGAAGAGAAGGGTCACATTGAAAAGAGATATTTGTTTGACTGTGGGTTAACAAGTTAAACATGAGCTAATGCAGAAGTGCCTCTTCTCAGGTTTATGAGAGAGCGCTGTACAGTGAACCACATCCTACTAAAGTATGTTTCCTCACTGCAGAGAGTGTGTGAGCAGCTCCATCTGTATACCATTGGCAAGCCAGAAAAGGTAAGAAATAGTTATGTAAGAAATAGAGAATATGCAGAATGCTGTGTGTGTGTACATGACGTGTGTGTGTGTGTGTGTGTGTGTGTGTGTGTGTGTGTGTGTGTGTGTGTGTAGGAGCTCAACAGGGCGGCCCGATTGGACATGTGTAGTTGTGGGTTTCACTTCAGGCTATGTCCGTTTCTACACAGAGGTACCTTGCTGATCTTATCTTCCTTTTTAATGTACTACATTTTCAGATATTCAGCAGAAGAAAGAGAAAATAAAACAAGTCTGTTTTAAATGTAACGCTGGTTGTGTCTCATCAGAACGGGGTTCTCCTCCTGGCCCAGATGCTGCACGAGGACCCTGTATTGACGCTCAAGTGTCGCACATACGAGATCCCTCGTCACCCTGGAGTCACTGAGCAGGTGATGCACACATTGTACACGCCTATCAGAACTGTGAATGAAAATGATGTTCAGATTCCAAGGAACAGTTTGACATTTTGGCAAATACATATATGCTTTCTTGTCAAGAGTTAGATGAGAAGATATTTGCATGATAAATATGGAACCTAAAGCCAGCAACAGGTACCTTAACACAGCCTCCTATGGTTGCTTAGCAACATCACGGTGACTCCCGGAAGTCAGTTCTCCCGGTTAGAAATAGTCTGGCACATCATTCCTCCCCCTCAAACTATAACAACAAACTATAACATGTGTAGTGAGCTTTAGAGATGCTCGTACATCAATTTTGTTACATTTAGATGGAGCCAGACCAGCTGTTCCCCCTCCGTTTCTTGTCTTTATGCTAAGTCTTCTGGTTGTAGCTTCATACTGTATATACCATACAGACACAAAAGTGGTACCAATCTTCTAATGTAACTCTTGTCAAAAAAGCAAATGTTGAACACTTTATTTGTATTTTGACATGTACAGTATGTGAAAATAATTCTTGAACTCAGGATCACATTTCTGGGATTAAATTAAAGTTGATGTAAACTCAAGGTTCTCTTTTCCTGAGCTTTTGACCGTGTCCCACCATGTTATTCAGCAGATGTATAATGATGTATTTTCATCCATCCACAGCATGAAGAGTTGAGTATCCTCTATCCTGCCGCTCTGGTCACTATCGACGGCTTCAGCCTCTTTCAATCTCTGCGTGCCTGCAGGAACCAGGTGGCAAGAGGTACTGCTGCTTGTGTCAGCATGTGGGGAATAGTGTGTGTATGTCGCCAGCATCCAACTGGGAAAGCAGTATGCTCGTGTGTTGATATTGTAGGGGCTCTAGTGGTAAACGTTAAGTATTAAGTGTGAAAAGCATTTTGCGGTAACTAGAGATGTGTTCTTCACTTGTTGGCTGGATGGATAGTGTTTACCATAATGCATTCAGGTACAAAGGAGATGTACACAAAACTGCCACACACACACACACACACACTTACTTGTACAGTCTCTAGTAGGTTAGAGGCCGTAGCTTCAGCAGGGTTTCTCTGAGCATCTAGTAGTGCTGTGTGGGTGTGAGTGTGCATCTTTCACTTTTAAAGGACAGTGCTCCAGTTTTAAATGTTGCTGAATGCAACACATACCTGCTAGCTATAAATTATGAAATTCCTGGTCAACCAATTCCTTGGTAACCAAATGACCAGCTGTGTTTTTTTCCATCCAGCAACAGCAGCAGGTAGTGATGTGATCCAACCTCCTCCCCTGGCCTATAAGAAGTGGGGTCTGCAGGACATGGACACCATTGTGGACCACAGTAGTGTGGGTAAGAGACTATTTTTCAAACAGTCAAATTATTTTTGTTCATACCGGTGGTTGATTGCCCAATGCTGGACTGAATGGTGGCTTACCCATCTTTTGATTTTCTATTACATCACAGAGTTAAAGTGATTAAAGGTAATTCTGAATTAGTACTACAGAATTCTTCATAACACATATGACAAAATTCTTCTCACAAAACTTTGACAAAAACACCTTCCAGGGGAAGGCAGCATTCTGTGTATTTATGTTGGGCTGTACTGTAAGTCCTTTTTTTACTCACGAAGGTTCTATATCAGAGGTAGCCAACACGGTGCCCGCGGCCACCTGGTCGCCCGCATGGACCACGTGAGTCGCCCGCAAGGCATGTTCTAAAAATAGCACGAGTCACCATGGAGCTCCGTCTAAAAATTTTACTTAATGTTCTTTTTGAATCAAAAATCTGAATGGCGGGCACTTCCCGTTGGAACCGGACGTGCGGCCCCAGCCACCACCGCCACGAGCGCACCCCGTCGTCAGGTCCGTCAGTCCTCGGAACAGGCTGCGGGGCAACAACTCGTGGGTGGGGGGGGGTAGAGGCCCAGACTAGAGGTTTGAATGCGGGCGCCCAAAGACGCTCGCGCACCTTGGCTATAGATGAGACTTTTTACAAGTTTCTTCGTGGAGAAAAAGGTTCCATTAGAAAAGCTGGTGTCTGTGACAACAGACGTGGCTCCCACCATGACGGGCCGGCATGCAGGCTTTATTGTGCAATGCAAAGGTGACCCAGACATCCCAAAAGTTGGTGATTAGTACTAATGTAATGGGATTCATTTAAAAATGTGAAAGTTGATTTTTTTTTTATCTTGCATAACTGATAATTTGCGTAAACATGGGACAGAGCTGATGATTTGTTCAAAAATGTTACAAAGGTAACAAGACATGATTTGAAGATATGACAGTTAATGATTTTCTAAAAAATTTTAGAAGTGATTATTTGTACAAAAATATAACGGGTGTGATTTTGAACAAAACACATAATCATTGTGAGGAATAATTTACATTGACATGTGATCAGACAGTCTCTTCACATATGTTATTATTAAAAGGTGATCTGTGCAACTTTGTTATTCAGGAAGTTTGTATCAAACAAGTAGCCCTCCGTACTATTCGGTACCCTTGAAGTAGCTCTCTTTTTCAAAAAGGTTGGTGACCCCTGATCTATCTATAGATAGAACAGTTGTGTTGCTTAAGTGTTCCCTTTTTATTTTTATATATATATGTATATATGTATATATATATGTGTATATATGTATGTATATGTGTATATATGTATGTATATGT